GCTATGTATTGTATATATACAATTTTGTAATTTTTAAAAATAAAATTTGTATAGTATTTGCTATAATAGTATTTATTAATAGAAGGTTAAAGAGGTATTTAAAAAAAGTGTTGTTTTTTAATTGAATTATAGACTACTAGTTTAAAGATTACTAGAAAAACCTAAAATATATTAATAAGTTTTCTGTAGTTTCTAATCTATAACAGTCTTAGTAGTTTTTGTAATAGTAATTAAGATTGTAAGAATCTAGTTTTTTGAAAATAAAAGTAGACATAGTATTAGATAAGGTTTAGTAATTTTAGTGAAGAAGTATGACAAATAAAAAAGTATAACAAATAAAAAAGAACAGAACAAATAAGAAAATATAACAAATAAGAAATATAACAAATAAAATATATCTCAATATCACAATAAACAAATTGATAAGATTTACAGAAAATAAAATTGTATAAATTTATTAAAACTAAAAAGGTAAGTTTGACTTTTATATAAAAATAGATATAACAGGAGTTAAAGTTGTGTAAATTAATTAATAATATTGATTAGTAATAATGATCTGCAGGTTTGGATATTCTAAAAAAACAGAATCTTTTAAAAAATAAAGAAAAAAATTTTTGCAAAAATTAAAGTACAGTTTTTGCAGTAGAGTTTTAAAAATATTTTAGTTATAAAATTTGTAGTTTTTATCTATTTAAAATATATTATATATTAAAATAAAACTATTGTTGAGCTTAATCTTTTTCTTTTGAAAAATAATATATATTTATTTAAGTATATTTATTCACCGCTCCCTGCGATATCACTAATTTACTGCTTTTCATATTATTGACCAATCAAATTTTAAGATCAGATGTAATATTGCACAATTAGAAAATTCAAAACAAACATTTGCTTTGTCAAAAATTGTTTATAACACAAAACTTTATATATAAAACCACTCTTCATGTTCTAACAAAAAAAATTTCTCCTAAAATTTTATTATAAAATCTTTCTTTAAGTCTATAAACTACTCTTACCTCACCCTAACCTTAATTAATAAAAAAACTAGTTGTTTTGATTTTATGTAATATCTGATTTTATGATCTGCAGAGATGTGATAACATCACAGGGTGCGGTGTATAAATTGTCTCTATTTATTTAATAAAATTTTAAACAAATAAAGAAAGAGTAAAATTTTAAAAATATAGTTATAACTCTGTAGCAAAAAGCTTTAGAGCTATAAAACTAGATCATTTATAAGTAAAATAAGAATAGAACAAATTTATTTAGATAGTCAAAGATAGTTACTTAATAAAAATTTTAATAAATAGCAAATGTTTTCAAGAAAAATTTAGTACAAATAATTATTAAAAAAAGTTAATGATTTGTATCTTTTAAGTAATATTCTTGCACTATCTCTAATAAGTATTCTAATATAATCTTTTAGAGTTAATTATATAGTGCTTAAATTTTATTAAATAAGATCTAAATTAGATTTTAAAAATATAGTTGCAATATTCTTAAATATATATATTATTTTTGTATAAATAGATATTAATAATAATTTATTCTTTAATTAAATAAAATATTAATAATCTTTTTTTTGTATTAGATTTTAATTCTTTATTCTAAGAGTATTTTATATTATTTTATAAGAGTTTAGTTTTTATTATTATCTTGATATAGCTTTTTTTTAGATTTGTGATTTTTTATTAGTTAGTATGATATATAAAGTCATTATAATAGAAAAAGTTGAAACTTAAAAATATATAATTTTAAGAATATTATATTTATTTTATTTAAACTAATTTAGATTAATCAAAATTCTGTAATTTGATTGGTTAGCTATATTAGATAATCTTATAATATATGAATTTTCTAAAAATTTTTTATATATATTTTAATTTTTATTAATTGGTGATTCGCCAGTTAACCAGAGAGAGGTTATAGTATAATGTAATGTAGTTTATATATAGAAATTAGGGGTTTGCAAATATGGGCTGCATCATTCTAAAACTTTTTTATACTAAATTAACTATCTTTTGGCTTCTAATTGGAGTTGTAGAGCTCATTGAGAGAAATCTAATAGTGGATAAATTATCAAAATCAGCTTCGTAGATTATAAAATATCTTTGAAAATGTTTTGCTGACTATATAAAATTCTTTTTCAACAATACTATTGTTAAAGGAGAATTTTACATAGTTAGTAAAATATTTTTGAAGATATCTTATGATTCACAAGACTGATTTTGACAATTCAACTACTATTAGATTTCTCTCAACAAGCTTTATAACTTCAATTAGAAACCCAAAGATAGTTAATTTAGTACAAAAAAAAGTTTTAGAATGATGCAGCCCACATTTGCAAAATCCTAATTTCTATATATAAATCGCATCACATTATACTATAACCTTTCTCTGGCTGACTAGCGAATCACAAATTAAACAAATCAATTTTTATTTATAATATAAAAATATAACTTATTATTGCACCTCCAAGCAGCATATCCAGAGTTCGAATCTTACTATCAACGAAATTCAAATATTTTGTTGTGAAATAGTTACTATCTCTCATTGATCAGTTAGATTTAGAATCTGTAATCAAGGTCATGTCAGATATCTGAGAAGATTATTATTTATATAAAACCAAGAAACTAGAAAGATAGATACCCACTTAGTAAAACCTGAGTAAAGAGATAGCACAAATCTTTGATGGTACTACATAAAAGATTATTACCAGGAAAAACTAAAAAACCAAATAGGAACAAGATATATAGCAAAAGCACCTCACCAACCAGGCTGCTAGGATCAGAGAAAAAGAATTTGCTTAATTTGTAGATACTAGAGGACCAGTAACTTTGGGTGAAAGTTTCTCCTAAGCTATCTGAATTAGTAGTTTAGAATAGCTAGATTAAACCAGGAAAACTAAATAAACAAAGTATTTAAAGAGGCACTTCTATCAACCAGGCCACTAAAACTGAAAAAAAAAGACATGCTTAATTTGCAGATACTAGAAAACTAGTAACTTTCAAGTAAAAGTTCCTCTTAGATCATCTGGATTAGTAGTTTAGGATTTGAAAAGTAATCTTAATAGTCTGTAAAGTAGGTACTGGGATTTGAGTAAACTCTACAAGAGCAGAAGTAGATAATAGTAGTGCTTTAGCTTGCAAGTACTTGTTCTTAGACTCAGCATAAATTACTGAATTTTAAGTTAACCAGATTGTAGATATAAAAAGCTCTAGCAAGTTTATTTTGAAGATAAAAGGCTCTCTAAAATAGTTAAAGCCTGTTTTAAAATCTTAAGCCAGATATCTGAAAATAAGGAATCCAAACTAGATTCTTGCTTGGTTATAAAGATTAACTCCATAGATGCAGAGAGTTTAGATAGATAACTCTTTAGTTGGGTTATAGATATAGTATCTAGTATAAAACTTAGTAATAAGCAGATTACTTAAATAGGCAATCAAAAATTATATATATAGCTAGTATATAGTCTCCAAATATATATACTGTACAGGCTTCAATAGAAGCTTTAGCATATAGTAAAATAGAGGTTGGAACCATTATCACTTTATCCAGATATCCATATAGTTAACACATATCTGGATACAATAAATAGCTTATAGATAATAACCTTTATCTATTAGTTTTAAAAAGGATAATCTGGTAGATATCTGGCGGGTATCTGTGGATATCCATATATCTATCAATGTTTGTAGGTATCTGCAGATAATTGCAAATATCCAAATATAAATTAAAGTACAGTATGGACAATCTAGTCCTAACAAATAAAATCTTTAGTGGCCAAATTTAAAATTTAATTTTTATATGTTATATATGATATGGCCAAATTTAAAATTTTAGCTGAATTATTAATTTAACACAGTCAATTTATTATATAGAGTAGCCAAATTTAACATATAGAGCAGTCAAATTTAATATATAAAAGTGGCCAAATTTGCTTGTTTAATAGTATATTGTGAGCGGTCAAATTGTTTGTTTAATTATAAAATTACCTCGACTTTAATTTTCTATTTTATTAAAAATAAATTTAAAAAAATTTTAAGACCATCAAAATGTTTAGCTTGTATAGTTTTAATGTTCTGTGAAGAGATTTGTTATTTATTATTTTTTATAAACAAGAATTAGCATTTTGAAATTAGTCAAATTTGTTTGCCAGGACTAGAGTGTCCAGAATTCTGATGCTCTAACTGACAAATTCTGCGATAAAGTATAAATAATACTTTAAAAAAAAAAATTAAAACCAAAAAAATCAAACAAAAGAAATTGTAATTTTATCACAGAAGCCTACGTTTACTAATAGTTTATTGCACATTAATATATAATTTCGTGCAAATTCTTTGTCTATCAATCATTTAATAGAAAATTTTGCAAATTCTGCTTTAGCAGATTTTCTGCTTTTCTGCTCAGACAAGCAGAACTGTGCTAAAAGCAGAATTCTGTGCAGATTCTGCCATAGCAGATTTTGGATACTCTAGTTGGGACTAGGTTGTCTGCACAGTAGTATCATTTTCAAATGTAAAATAGATGAACTTCGAATCCTGCATATTGCTACAATGAGAATATATATCGAATTTATACTAGCTTATGTACTGTTGAAATTTAAAATAAGTTGCTACTGAATTTAGCTTATCTCTGATGTATTTAGTCAATATTTATTCTATATAAAGTGCATTATACATCTGTACATATATATGTACATGGTAAATTTTAGGAAGTATAAAAATACAAAAAATTCAGATTTCACTATTACTACTGTATAATATGAAATTGATATTCTTACTTTTTTTTATAATTTTCAATGATTTTTTTTCTTATCATTATGATTTAAGGTTATAATAACTATATATTTTTTAAGATTATAATTTGATCTATAGGTATCTTTTTTTTAAATTGTTAGCTAAAAAGCTATAAAATGATAATGTATAATTCATCATATATCAGTTTTATATGAAAAGATATCTTTACCAAGAAACATAGAACATATAAAGCAAGAAAATATGACTGACCTTGGTGATAGTAATTTTGGGCTAGAAGAAAACCCTAGTAGTGATGATTTCTTTATAAGACAAACAAAAAAACATGCAAGTACTTCTAAAGATACTGTAAAAAAGAAAAGAAAACTGAGTAAAAGCATAACTAATACATTAGCAGAGACAATAAGTAACGAAATATTCCTGAGAATGATAACAATCAAGTAACTAGTAACGTGTTATCTGAAAAGAGTCTTAGTACTAATTAGCAGCCTTCCAAACCTGATCTTAAATATCTTCAACTTGTATCTATTAATAAGATACCAGGAAATAGCTGGATATGGAGTTATTACTGATTATATAAACCTGTGCAGCCTTATAAAAAGATAGTTAGTTGTTTGGTTGAAGTCAATAAGAATAATAGAACTTATCAGTACGGTCATTTAATGGGACCAACAGACACTTTGACAGGTAACTTTATTGTATATTTAGTTTTATGACATGCAATTACGAAGGAATCATACAAGCAAAAGCTTAGACAACAACAATCTACACAACCAAAACTTGATCAGATGTTTTAAGGACTAGTAGCAAATAATCCTAAATGAAAGACAAGGCAAGATCAAAAGTTTGTTAGTACAGTATGTTAGTCAAGGATCAATTGCCTATTAATTTAAAAGAAGAAGTTGGCTTTTCTGAATTTTTAGAAGAGTTTGATCTGAATTATCAATTACTTAGTGAAAAACTCTGCCGCAAATTGCTCATGGATGGCTTTCTATATTCGAAAGAAAGTCTTAAAAAAATGCTTTATGATAACATTATATCTTGTTCTTTGATCTGTGATCTTTGGACAGGATGTAATCATATAGGATACCTTGGAATAACGTGTTCGTCTATTGACAATAATTTTTAGTTAAATGAACTAGTTTTTACAATTAAATATTTACCTTATTTATACGATGGGAAATCAATTGCAGAGACATTAAATCTTATAATCAATGAGTGGAGATTAACAAATAAAGTTTTTACAATCACTACGGACAACAGAAGCAATATGGTCAAGGCTATAAGATATATACCAAATATTGTTCAAATTCCATGTACAGCCCATACCTTGCAGCTCATTATCGAAAAAGGGTTGTTAGATGCCAAACTTCTCATTGTACAGGCCAAATGACTTATGTTGTTTTTTACCGCACCTAAACAAACAGAAAGATTAATAAATGTACAAAAAAACTTGAGTCGACTTGAAAATATAGTAGGTATTTATTGTATATAAATTACTAGCATAGAGATTAATTATTTAATTATTTTAGGATTTAGAAGATAATGACCATCAACTACGAATTATAGCTGATGTCCCTACAAGATGAAATTCATCTTATCTTTTGTGGCAATGGCTTATTAAAATTCAAGATATAATTAATATGATGATAATGAATTTAGTACTAGATAATAATAGCACAAACCGGAAAGATGGCCTTCATTTAGAAAAAATTAATCTAACACATAACGAATAGGATGCAATTTTATTATTAATTACAGTTCTAAGATTTTTTGCCGAAGCTACTGATCTATTAGGGTGTAGCAAATATGCTACTATTAGTTTTATGTATAGTGCAATTACAGTAATTAAACAGGGGCTTTTGCTTGATAAAACTTTGGATATTGACTTCGATTCTTTTGAAGATGTTTTTGATAATGATGTTATTTGTAAAGATGATAAGAAATACTATATGTCAAATCAACAACAAATTAGTATTAATAATCTGCAAAATTGTCATAATCTTGAAGCAAGAATAAAATTAGCATTATATAGTGCTATGGAGTATTATTGAGATGTGTCTAGCAATGAAGCCATGCTAGCAACGCTTTTGGATCCTCAATGTAAAGCTTTTTCTTTTATGTCGAGATCTCTAAAAAAAAAAACAATTGAATTGCTTAAAGCTGGATATGAAGAAGCGCAGATTTTATATCAAACAGAAAAAGAGAAAAACAATCTACAAACCAATCTGAACACTTTATTGGCCTCAATGTTTCAGAATAGAAGTCTGCAATTAGAGGTTTCAGATTATCTTGGAGTGCAAAAACTTTCATAAAATTAGTGTCCACTAACTTGGTGGAGTAATAATCGAAACCAATACCCTATATTGAGTAAGTTAGCTTAAAAATACTTGGCCATTCTAGCAACATCAACTGCAAGCGAAAAACTTTTTAGCGATGCTAGAAACACAATGATAGCAAAAAGAATATCACTTTTACCTACGACTTTTGAGCATTTGGTATTTTTGAGAAATAATTAGTGTATTGTCAGAAGCATGTTTCCAGATATTAGTTAAATCTGGAATATATGCAGTAAAATCTGATCATAACTAATAAAGTCTGTATGTGCAGTAAGTTGTATTACAGCCAAATTAATATTTTTTTAAAAATTTAATATGAGAAATTATTGTATTTTCAAGATAAGAATATATCTATTATCATTGAATACTAAGAAAAATATCATGCCTATTAAATATATTACCCCCAAATAGTCCAAATTATTATTTGAACAAAAATGATCAATAGAGGATTTAGTACAATATTTTTTTGCAACTCAGGTCAAATGGTATAAAAGTTTGATGACTACTGATTTTTTAAAGTATATTAAATCATTATTTATTTTGTTTGTATTAAACATGTCTTTGAACTAAATCATTTTTTAATTTATAGTTTCATAATGTACAGTAATAGCATTAAAAGATTTATTTAATCTGCAAGAAATTCATGATTGACAAAATCAATATCATTAGTGTTGACCGTAAAATGAAGATTTGATATATATCATGTTGGCTATATTTTTTTATAGCTGATACTAGAATAGCTTCTTATTGTCATGCTTCTAAGCTTTAATTATAATATATGCTGCATTTTTTTTATGTGTGATACTAGAAAAATTAGAAAATCTTTATATCAAGGATCTAGAATTGTTTAAAAAATGATTTAAAAGGTAAAATTATAGTATTATGCTTCATGCTGGTTTAGAATTTTTATTTTGTTAAAAATTTTTCATTAGATACATGCAGAAGACTACAGCCTGAATTTGTTTCT